CCAAATGCAGGTTGCACTCCAAGTGCAGGTTCAAGTGCATGTCCAAGTGCAGGTTGCACTCCAAGTGCAGGTCTAATTAGTGCTCAACAATCAACTTCTAGTGCATGTGGCCAAAAAAGAAAGACTAGCACAACTTTGAGAGGTGGTGCAACTCTTGCATATAAGAAACCAAGACCAAAAAAAGCAAAGACAGCTGGTTATGGTCTCTTATTTGGATCAGGTGGCACTGTAACTGCGAGGGTATGTATTTTATCATTTAAACACATTAAATTGCTTTAATTGATATTAGTTCATCTTTAAGTTAAGATTTTTGTTATTCTCTCAGTCTGAAAATACTGATAGGGTATTACATAGTGCTACATTGTCAAGTTCAACTCCTACCAATATTGATCTTGATTACAAACCCAATGGACTAAAGTGGAAGGGAAGAGCTGCAATTACTCAAAGGCAGCTATGGGAGGAGAGTTACAGAAGCACTCAAGGCACACTTTAGATTTCACTTGGTTTAGCTTAATGACTTGATCCCAACTAACTTTATTTTGATTAATGACTTGATCCCAATTGTTTTGGTTATGCTATTAGGAAGACTTTGTTTTTGTATATGAATGACGCCTACATGAATTTGTGTTATGTTGCTATTAGGAAGACTTTGTTTTTCTGTATGAATTTGTGTTTGAATGAAGTTGCTATTTAGATTTCTGAAGCAAATGCAGTCCATTTCATTATCAAATAACACCTATTACAAATTAATATATCTTAAAAATAACGGCTACAAACCAAATAACAACAATCACAATAACAGTGATATCAATACTAGTGTTTGATCCTTGTCTTCCTTGCCTTCCTTGTCTTCCTTGTCTTCCTTGCCCTGAACTCGTTGATGGATTCTTAATGTTGTATTGTTCTTGGCATGTTGAATCATTTGCATCAGCCTATCGGAAGAATCCACACCCATTACTGGATGAATATTTTTGGCAACCCCAAAACATTCTTCCAGGATTAGTTGGTGTTCTTGATGTCTTTAGTTCAGCATATATTCCACAGTAGCAACATTGAACCGTCATTGTGAAGACCAACAAAATCAAACCAACAAAAATACAATAGAACCACACACAAAAAAAAAGATGAAACAAAAATACAACAGAATCACACACAAAAAAAAGATGAGTAGATCGAAGGAAAAAATAAAGGCACCAACAATAAAAGAGAAAAAAATTTGAAGAGACAAAATCGAGAAAAAGAGGAGAAAAAAGCTCAAATTTGTCCAACAATGGTGTTTGAGTGAAAATAAAGAAGAAAGATAAGGTCAAAATCTGACCGTTAGTTTATTTTTAAGGCGTCTCACGCTCTTACCTTGTGTGTATCACACGCTCCATGTGGAGTCTTTCCACATAGGATGCCACATCAAAAAAAGTGTTTAAAATGTTGGGTTTGGATGGGTTCAGGGGTCCAGATGACAAAAGGGTAAGTAGAAGGGTTCACAATACAAACAGATACAAGAACAAGGGTCCACCAGACCATTCTGCCTATATAATTTTGAGAGAGAGACTTTCCAAGGACTCATCCATGAGTCTTCATTCGATATTTCTGTCTTTCACTCTTTCTATTCTTCTTGGATCTCTCCCATTTTAGCTTCCATCAGCATCCCCTTGTCTTTCTTTACAACATGATCATGCCATATTAAAATGTTAACATTATATGTATATAATTGTAATAAATATATATAGTAGAATTTATAAGTTTCTTGCATACTTGAAAATTAAAATAATATTAACATGTTATAACAATAATTAAATAATGCGAATACATAATATATTACATTATCCGCGGACAAATTAAGATACTTTTTTTTAAAAAAAAAAACAATCTTCATCAGAAAGTTTGATACGTTATTTCTTTTCGAAAGACAAATTAAGTAATATTTTAATAAAAAAATAAATATTTTTTAAAAATATTTAAACGTGAGAAAGATGAAACTATACTCCCTCGTTTCTTTTTATATATGTATCTTAGCTTTAACTAATTGCTAATACATACATTAAGAAAGTAAGGAAGATGTTTCAATCTTATGGTAAGTAAAATAAATAAATTGACAATATTTTTTTTGAATTCAGATTCACAAATAATGTCTTAATTTAAATTAAAAAAGTTAAGTTAATTCTTTACTACTAGGATATACTCCATTTAGGAGCTTAATATTATGATTCACTTAGTTATAGGGGTTACATGCATACCACTATTGTTTGTCTTGGCATGTTTAATGATCCCAAACTATTTAATTAAAACTAGGTAGCTCCACTAATTTTGCATTTTGAGATCATAATCCTAATATATTTTTTTTTCAACTTGCTTCTTAATTAATTAATAATGAATGATTCTCTAAATTTAATAAAATTATACATGTTCGTCTGCATGCCAACGAGGGTAATCGAGAGCTATGACAAGGTTGTCTCTTAGATCGTTATATATATATATATATATATACACTTCAAGATGATAATTAATATTCAACAACAAGAATTAAGTAGCATAAATGGTAAATAATTAAGACATGAAATTTGTGACGCTCATGATTGAGAGTGTGCCTATGAGAGAAGTATATACACGAAAGGAAGACAAGATTCTAGTGGAAAGCTTTTGAAGAAGTGATTCACGTAATACCTTAGACGAATCTTCCGTCATAATGAAACAGAAAAGTAAAAGATAATATATATTCTTATCCAAAATACAAGTGTAACGTTTACTTCTCGAAAATCAAACCATATGAATTTCGTCCCACATGTGAGGTTAAATATATAATTTTATTGAACTAATCTTATCTAATCTAACTAAAGTTTAAAGATTGGTCAAATTAACTCCTTCATCTTTGACAATTTTAAAGATCTCTTATAGATATTTTTGGTATGGAATTATTTTGTTTTCAACTTGCTTTTTGAATGAAATATTTATTATTTTTTATATAGCTAATTAACAATTATCAGCTTGGCAAAGAGTGTAACATGTTCGACTTGCCAGTAAGGGCAATCTAAAGTTATCAACACAAATAGTTAATATATATATATATATATATATATATATATATATATATATATACACGAATCAAATCAAATTAAATTAGATTGGATTTAGGCAATCTAAATAAGAGATATTGTTATAACACAATATTTAGGCGATCCTTTGCAAGATTAAACTATTTTAATTAATGGAAATCTTAATACACACCCTACATGTCAACACAACAATTTTTGATAACACTATAATCCACCATGAAAGATTTATTTGGACGATTTTCAGTATCTAAAAGAAAACTATATATAATCGTTCAAAAAATGTATGATAAATAATTTATTTTTTTTAAGAGTAGATTACTTGTTATAATAATAATATTTAGTACTTAACTTTTGATACTAATTCAAATTGCGTTATTGGATTAGAAGAATGATAGCTATACTGATTCAATATACTCTAAAGACGTACCTTCTTATAGACTTGTAGAAATAAGCGTGCTATTACATCTAATGTATTATATTACATAAAGTTTATAATTACAGTCACTTGCTAGCAAAATGTGATTACTAAAATAAGAGTTTTTTGTGGATAAACACATTATCTAATTGACTTTTTAATTTAATTGATTGTTCAAGAAAAGGATAGCATAATTAAGATTAATTTTCAAATACACTGGTCACTCTCAATAGAGTTTTCATAAAGCTTTTAATTAATTACTTGAGCTCTTTATTAGCTTTGTCAATGTTAGCTTATGATCCAATTATGAATTAGAATTATAAGATAGTACAATAATAAATTAAATGAAAAATGATCAATTTGACTATTTGAGTTAAAAGTAATAACTAATAAGGAATGAATTTGTCAAAAACATAAATCCTCCTTAAATATCATCAAATGTTGCGTTGAAATAATGGTAAATACTTCTTTATTTCTTAATTAGAGTCTCGGATTAAAGTATTAAATATGAGATCACCTTTATAAAAAAACGTTTTATTCAAAGTGAGACTTTTCACTGCGAATATAAATTAATCAGACTCTAATATGAATATCAAACACCGAAAAAAAAAATCCTCCTTAGATGTCTCTCGTGTGATATTGTGATATATGTTGTCATGTCTATTAATACATTATGTTATATAATAACTTTAGTGGAGGCAATCTAGAATTTGAATATTATGATCATGTTGGAAATTTTTACCACAATATATTTAAATTATTTGCCCTCTATTTTATATTAGTTGATCATTATATTAAAAATAATTGTTTCATATCAGTTGTTTATCTTACTAAATCAAAAAAATATTAATTAAATTATTTTTTTAAGTTAAGAGTATTTAAAGGGTGTTTTAGGGGTTTTTTTAAAAGGGTTTTTATGGGTTAGGGGTTTTAAAGGTTTTATAGGATTTGGGTTTCTTAGTGTTAAGAGTTTGGTGTTTGGGTTTCTCAGGGTTAGTCAGAGTTTAGGCCTTAAGGTCTATATTATCTTTACAATTAATTCTTTTTAAAAGTATTCACATTTATTTATAAAATTCCAAAAAATAAAATAAAGGATGAATAAATACCATTATATTATGATTTATAATTTCTTAAGTATCGTACAAAATAAAAAGTGCTCTAAGTACTCATTTGAGATGGATAGAGTATATATTTTCGTTTTGATGTATACTCTCAACACAAAATACTCCATTTATCGAAGTACTTCAATTTTTAACTCATTCCAAGAAACAAATCCAATAAAAAAAACAAAATAAATAGAGAAAGAAGAAATTATAGAAGACTCTTTTTCTTTGATTTTTCTTCCATTTTTTTTATGTATATTTTTGTAAATAAGTTAGTAAATTACAAAAAAAAAAAAACCATAATTGGTTACTACGTCAGCCTCATTACATACGTTTTTTTTTTTTTTTTTAAACAAAAAATTATAGTATATATATTTATTTATTTTAAAAGAGAGAAAAATATTGAAAATGGAGAATTTTTGAAGAGGTGTAATTAGCTGGAAAACCTACTCCAACAAAAATTGTTTCACAATCTTCATGCTTGGTAATACAACTTGTCTTTCCCAAATTTCCGTCGCCGGAATCTTGCTGTTTTCCGGCGACATTTTCGCCCGGAGTGCCTCCGTGGCATCTACTTTTTGTAGGTCCCACCCACTTTCTCTCAACCGTTGAATTTTCCACATCTGTTTCTCTGCAAGCTCTTTCGTATTCTCCTTTATCTCTCTCACTGCTTCATCGTATAGCCTGCATTTTTCCTGTACGGTGGTACAATTTTTCAAATTCCTAAAATACCCCTCCATCTCCGGTACCCCAATCGCTTTTCTTATCCCGGTGTTCCGGTCGGAAAACCCGTTTTTCTCGAAGAACTCTTCGAGCTCTTCGTACATCCCGGAGTCCATCATCTCGTCGACTCGTTGAAACAAGTAACGATTCAGAACCGGAGTGAAAACATCGACCCAGATGAAGCAACAATGGTAACGAAGCTCCTTTGATATACACTGAACCGGGTTTAACTCATCGAAAACATCGACACCCGGATTGAACTGGTTTGATAACAGAGCGTAGATGAAGGAATTCGACCCACCGACGATTAATGGAAGTTTCCGGCGATTAATGATATCAGTGATTCTGTTATCAGCTGTATACCGGAAATCAGAAGGGGAAAACAACTCAGGACCGGAAAACTCACCGAGTAAATGATGAACAACGCCGCCCTGTTCATTGATTGAAATTTTGTTCGTTGTTATATCAATCCCTTTGGAAACTTGAATTTTGTCTGAATTTATAATCTCCGATGGGAAAAAACGAGTGGCGAGGTCGATTGAGAGTTTTGATTTTCCAGAACCAGTAGCACCCATTATAACAACGATTTTTTTCGTTGTTGGTGGTGCTACTGTTGTTGTCGTAGCCATGTTACGACATACCCATTTGTGATTTTGAAGGAATTTGAAATTTTTAAAATGAATATGATAAAATGATCCGAATAATCTTCTCATAAGTAAAGAAGAAGAAATATGAAAATGGTGATGCATATGAAGCATAGATAACCAAAAAAGAGTTGGATTCTACTACTACTACTACTATTACTGTAGCTATTTATTATGTACACTATCATACAAAAATCATGAATTTGAGAAAATGGGGGTTGGGGGTGAGGGGGTGGGTGTTAGTTGTTGGTTTTTAGTACTCTTGGCAGCACCTGAAAATGGAGGGGGTGGGGTGGGATAGTATTGTATTTTTCTGTTATGACGAAGATGAAGATGAAGATGAAGATGAAGCTTGATAGATGAATGTATATATATTTATATATGTAGTGCTACTGTTTATTGATGGCTTCATTTTTGCTCTGTTTTTTTTAGTGTATAATATATGGTATAAAATATTTAATTTTTTATCGGTTACGATAATGGAAATTGTTATTTTTCGTAATTTACCTTAATGCTGGTAATGTATTTTCTGCCATTGAAAGAGATGAAGAAGAATGGAAGGAAGTGAAGATGTTGGGTCGCATTTTTATAACATGTTTGCATATTTATAATGAATTCAAAAGGAATAGTAAGTAGTGTACTACTACTTTTTGAATTAATAAAAAATTGACTTTAACTTATGGATAGCACAATGGGTCATATGGTAGATATCGTAATTTAAATTTTTTGATATTAAGATAATTATAGGATGTTATATAGTTTGTATGTGTATGTTCCATTCCCATTCGCTAAACTTGCTCCTTCTGAGAATGGTTTACCTCGCTTCTCGGCTTGAGCCGAGTGACTTTCCACTCCTCAATCTTATTCTGTTTCCGATCTTGCTTCAATTATCTTTCAGTTGTGGAAACAAACCCCTATTCCTATCGGTTGAGTAGCCCAAGCTCCTTAAAGCGTACTGTCCCCTCACCTGTGAAAGAAAGAGGTTGATGCACCAACACACTTCTGTATCGACTGAATCACTCTTTTGATCTAGTCGGTGGAACCGGTGAACCACGCGCCCCCTCCTGTTCCAATGGTGTGGGGGCGTCAAAGGCAGTTACCCTGTGGCCAACTCGAAGGGGCTGAAGTTCGATGCAGAGCTTTTTGGTTGTTAAGTTGTAGCAGGACTGAGCAACATCCAACAACTTCAGTCCTTCTGGTTTGCACTAAAGTAGCTTAAATAGCCCCCACTTTAGTGGGACTAGTCTAAAAAACTTTCACTTGAGCTGCCAAGACTCGGTTTTTTTACGGGAAGGTCCTTCTAAAATTACGTCTAATGTCCTTTTATTACTTTTCCGTATTGTTTAATTCTATATATAAAATTTAAATATCCACTTGTGAATATTTCAAAGTAGGAGGACATAAGTAAAAAACCTGTTTTATGTAGTAAAATATTGAAATATTGAATATCTATCAAAGAATATAATTAAATAAATAATTCATAAATATTAGATAATACAAACAAGTGTACAACTTAATATTAGTGCAAAACTAAATGTGTAAATGTTAGAACGTAAACTACTCAATTTTGATTGAAGTTTCTTTTATTTTATTATAAATGATTAACAAAGGGAATTAGTTATATTTTTTTAAAACATATTTCTATGTATATGAAGTGTTAATATGATCTAATTGAAACGTTTTTTGAAAAGTTGATGTCATAATTCTCTACTATATTGTATAACATAGAAATAACATTCATTAGTTATCTTTTGATCCTATCTTTAAAAAATAATCAATATTATGAAATAACAATGGTCATTTTTTAATTTCTCAAGAGATAAAAAGTGGATATGTGTTCAAATGGGTGGGTGGGTGTGAATTAAATTGGGTGGGTCATTACAAGTAATAAGACCAATTATATATTTCTCCAACAATTTCTTATTACATGAGTTAAATATTTTTCTCACTATCTAATTTTATTTTTTATTTTTATTTCTCCCTCCATTTCATAAATCATAATATAGTTTGACTAGACGTTGGACTTGAAAAATAAGGGAAGTATTTATAATATTTTAAGATTATCATTAAAATAAATGATCTTTTAAATAGGAGAGTACATATTTATAGACCTTTTACCAAATTAAATATATGAGACTCAACATGGTAAAATATTAATAATATTATGAAATATTATGGTTTTTTTTGTTTCGTCACTAAAAGTATGTGTCTCATATATTTAAGCACGAAAAGTAAATTTTGTCACTAAAAGCGAACAATTAGTGACGAATTTGATGTCGTAGCTAATAATTTCGTAGCTATATATCATATTTGTTGTAGTGGTTTGTCCATAATATTGTTGGTAGTTTCATATTTGGAGTTACGTAAATTATTGTTTCTTTGTTTTTATGAGTCTAACTATAAGAATTTTCAAAACTTTTGTCACAAATTATAGGTGGCAATTTGGATATGTAAATACGCATCTTGCAAAATTTAACAAGTCATATAAATAGTTTAAAATGTGTGCCACGCAACAACATGAATACATTATTCACAAACCTAAAATAAATAAAAAACAAAAGTTAGGTTTTAAATATTTTATTTAAATACCAAAACTTTTAGTTTAAATGTATATATCAATAATAATCAAACCAAGACTTATTCTTTTTAGCATTTTTTTCGAATATGAATTTAGATTAGCTGAGTCAGATAATTTAAAATATGAGACCTCAAGTTTTAAGCGTAAATAGTTTTTTTCTTCTTCTTTCTCCCCCCTCCCCCTTTTTTTTAAACTTTGCGCGACACTTTTTTTTATTTCAAATATTATTCTTTTTAATTTAAATACCTTAGTGAGAGCCCTTTTTAATAATAACAATAATAATAATATTTAATATTTTTTGGAGAATGACTTCAATCATGTCAAATATACCCTTGGTATTCAATTCCAATCTCAATTAGCTACTACAACACTAGATTGTTTGGTGGATTCAACATGGATTTTTTCACTTATTCAAACATTTGAAAATAAATATGACCATATTCTTCAAAAACATTAATCTTGTGTTTGATTTTTTGGCTGATGACTTTGGTATCTTTTAATCTGAGGGTAATTAAAGTTCTTAAGTGAATATTTACATTTGTTTCTAGTTTCTGAACACCATTCGTGGTATTCTTTCCTTGGTTGCAATTAAAAAGGGGCCTTATATTTCAATTTGACATGAAGAATAAAATGTTACAATGACTTGAGAAAGCCTTGGCATAATACCTTTAATTTCTTGCGCGAATAATCTATAAAAAGAACGTCCTCGTTACAAATATGAGATTCTCTATTTATTTTTGTATTCATAATTTTCGAATCATTACAAGTAATTTTTACTGACACGAGTTTAGATGGGTCAATGGGAAATTAAGAAGGCCCATGGCCTAGCTAGGTTGATAATTACCTCCATATATAGGAGCACCTTCCTAAGGCCGGCTCAAATAATCAAGCCTACATCATAATTTGTGACATTTCTATAAATAAAACACAACAAATAAAAGAATGTTCATCATCCCATACTACTAGCTCAATACAAAACAAATTTGTAGTTAAACATCAAAATCGAAAAAAACCTTGTAAACACTAATGTCAAAATATGTTGTTGCATCGTGAAGTATAAGCTAGTTTGAGCCTATTTACACCTACTAGTTACCTAAATGTACCCTTTAAAGAAAAACTTGCAAATGTTGAAATTTGAAAATGAACTACTTCATCAAAGTCCATTTTACTTATTATTATGATTGACAATAATAAAGTATTCACTTCGGTCCATTTTACTTGGTATAATTGAAAATGATGTATTCCCTCTAGAATTTTGTTTAATTCTAATTTGCTCCGGATAAAGTACAGTAAAGAAGAAACACGCTAGTTCATTCCTAACTTTATTTCTGTTTTCAGAATTTAAATCAAAACCTTTTGATTAAGTATAATGAAAGTTATTTATTTACCATGCTCGAAGACGAGTAATTGGAGAGTTGAGAATGTTAAAAAAATGGATGCACACACACAAAATAATAATAATATAATTTTTTTTTTTAAAAATAAATTAAAAAAATGAAGTCGTTGGCATAAGAAGTCATTACACATTGACACCATTTTCAATTTGTTTATTCCAATTTTTTTTTTTGGGTATGGTACAATGCGATAATGACATTTATTGACAATAATATATGCAATGTAATTTTATAAGTGTGGTCTGAGCAATACACAAATTGTATTCTTTAAAAAATGAGTTGCATATGGTCACTCAATTAATAATTAATACTTCAGAAAGACATTTTTTTTATTCAACAAAGAAATCATCTTTATGAGATAATAAATTTTAGTTGAGTAACCATTTGAGAAATCAACTCAAAATGAGTTCAACTTAGATAGTTACACAATTCAACAGTTTTGACGGGGATGAGCCTAATTGAACGAAGTGCAATAACCCATAGATCGCTAGCAAAAATTATTGAACTCAAACAAGAATTTCACATGAAGTTTGTCTTAGGCAAATTTAATATTGGTTAGCGGCTATATAAATTGGAATCAAGAATGCAATTATATTGTTGACGCACCTCTTGAATTAACGCTCCAGGGAACTAAACCATGAGGCCTCACAAAATTGGTCAAAGTAAACAATATCTTAATAGTTAGTTCCATATCATTAAAAGTGATATTAGAGCAAATACTTCTCGTAATATGATGATTAGTAAGCATGTGAAGATGTTCAATCTCTTATAAGGAATCCAAATATATGATCTGTCTTTTAATTTAAAACTCAAGTTAATAAAAACATAAGGCTCTAGTTAAAAACTATCAAATCGAAAAATAAATAATATCTTAACAGTTGAATCAGAACTAATCAGCTATAACCCTGGTGTAACATGATCAATATGTAAGGAATAAAGAGAGAAAGCGATTGAATTAATTGGTAATGCACCTAATTAATGCACACCCACACGTGTTATTGAATTGTTACTGTTAAAATGTAAACATCTAAAGACTTGACCTTTTGCATGTCTCATTCTCTATTTCAAGATTTTCTATCAATCAACTTTATCACCTT